TGCCGGTGCCCATGCCTTGGCGTACAAAATCATGAAGGTGCCCACTTTGGGAACGCGGTTTGGAAAGGTATTTCGGGTGGATATTAGTTCGTAGCCGTACCTGCAGCAGACAAGCCCAAGCCAAACCCCTAAGCTTAAACCCAAACCCTAACCCCCAACAGGTACGACTATGAAATAGGATCTTGCCGGTATTATTTCATTTCTGCCGGATAATGTTAATCATAGCAGTGCGTTTTAGCCCAGTTCAGAAGGCTGTGGACTGAACTCCGTTTGTTAGAGGCAGGACTGTTACTACCAAAATGTAGGATAACCTGTGAATATGCCTCTGGGATAAACTGATGTGTGAAGTGGTCCATCAGTTTTTCGACCAACAAAGACGTCCAGAAATGGAAGATTTCAATCAACCTCCGCTTCGAAAGTAAACTTGATTTCTGGAGACGTATTGTCAAGACTTGTATGGGGAGATCTAGGTGATTTTTCTTAACGATAACAAACATGTGGAAATAGCTATAGCTTCTAATTTCTGTTTTATTGCCTTCGCCAGAAAACCGGATGTGAGTGAACCTGCAAAAACGCCCTTTGGTCGTCGTTAGCAATGTCTGGAGAAGGGAGAGTTTGTTTCCAGACAGAGCCCTGAGAGATGACGTAAAACGTCCGCTGGCACCTCGAAAGCATAGATTTCAAGTTCTTCGGTGCAAAGACTCCAATGAGTGTCCATACAGTTCGTGGCCCCAGATATTTGGCAGTCTGATCGACCCAGCCATTCCGCGATTCTACCTATACGACGCCTGTGTCGGGTGAAAAATTCCGGCCACGAAAAATCGATGCACAAGTCGCTTGTAGCGAGAGCGCAGATATCAGCCTTATGACAGCGCGCAGCCAATGTGTGCGCGTGAGCCTTACTACATAGAAGAGCCCAGACTGCAAAAAAAGTCTACTTTGGGGAAAATCACGCCCACTGCATCCTGCAGACCCTTTGTGGAGGGGGCACCGCGCCAAGAGTGGCGGGATCCAGAAGGATAGGCAAACGACCATGAAACTTAACCAACTGACTATTCGAGCACAACCGTGCAATATCTCGGCCCTTTGCACTACCGACACGATGACGCGACCATGGCGACTTGGTACTGCCACCACTAACGGCTCGCGTCGAAAATGCTGCACAGTGCAGGGCGTCCTATATGAAATGTTACCGGCTACATGGACAACACGGGCAAGAACAGATAAATATACCCGACGATTTGGCAGGATCTTAAGACATTATCGGTTTATTGGCAAAAGGTCGCGAAGAAAAAACTAATATCAACATCCTTAACCGAACGGACCGCACCCGTTAATTCAACTCTTATGTTTACATTTCAGCATAGTAAAACGAAAATCCGATTCCCGTAACAAATTTGTAAAATACTCCTTTTAATCAATCTTACACTGATTTTTCAAGGAACTTTGAGTCTGCCATTATTTAAAGTTCCCAGACACATTGCAATGACATTTCAGTTTCCTTGTTGTTTTGCTTTTATAATTTCACCCTGCCCACGACATTCATATCTCCTCGCGAAGGAGTTTTCATTGCCCGAATACATCTTGAAAGTGAGGGCTCCCCGAGCCTATCCTTCCTTTTAAAATTTTAAGGTGCTTTTTTACTGCTTCGTTCGTAGCTCACAACTTTTTCTAAAAACTTCTAAGTTGGAATTAGTGGGCCTTGCTATCGAACGTATCTTACGTGAAAAGGCTAATTTCCGGGGTCGTGAGAAACATTGTCTATTTTGCATAACACAGTTTCTAAATTTGGTTGTTCGTCTGGCAACTCAGACAGACAACTACTTTCTACATTGTATTATTTTACCAAATGATCCAGTGGTAACTTTGTCTGGGAAGTGCTCTCCAAACGCTTAAAAATAAAAATGTTATTGATCCCGGATCGCCCGACACTTATATTGATATTCCCTCAAGGAAACACAGCAATGAACATCAGTCTCTAGATTATATTAGCGTTAATATCGTCCCTTTAGGATGACCGAATTTATCTGTCGGGTCAGTTTACTCACCGGAACGTCAGTTCCATCTCCGCGGGGATGCGTTACAGTATCTGAGCTATAGATTTCCAGTAGAAAATCAGCCAGTTAACGATAGAACTAAGTTTCTCTGTACATCATTTTCTCCATAAACCCTACACCTCTTTTTAGACGTCAGGGTAGTTTGCTGATTCAAAATTTTTTGCAAGGCCGTACAGGCGCATCCGGACTCTATGTTCCGTTAACAGCTAGTCACGAGACGACGTAGGTCACCTTCCTCCTAAAAACTGTCCCTGCCCCAAAACTTTCAATTCTTTATGCAAAGTTCAACGCCATAATGCGCTTCTTACCATGAAATGGGGTCTCAGTCGCAAGCGCATTGTAGAAAAGCTTTGGGTATTTTCTGAGCTGCCCATCAAGTTATTATCGACGTCGTGGCAGGCTTTGTAAGTAAGGCTAACTACCCTATTTCTCTGAACTTTGTACTTTTTTAATGAGTCGATGATCTTCTCTCCGAGATAAATATTGCACAGTATTCGCGTGAGGTTTGCTTCCCCCTTTAATGTGCCCTTTAGCCATCGGGGCCTGCTAATATGCTTCGTTTTTCGATTAAACACAGTATTTCGTGAATAGTACATGCAATACGGCCTTAAATTCTAACCAACCCTCGGGAAAACACACAGTGAATGTAACTGTAGTCTATACGACGCATGTCAATGTGCATTTGGTTGAAATCCCAGGCCACATGTTGAGTCTGATCGTTATGTTTCGATCAGGTGCAGAGAATAGACAATACTCCCACTACCAGGCTTTATGGTCGCTTTTTCCGAACGGTGGTAGACAGATTACCACATCGACGCTGTCAGATGCCTTTGTCAATACAAGATTCTATCAGTTGGCTCCTACTCTTCATGCAATCTGCTTCAAGATGGGGCATGTTGTGTGAGATGAGACCTTTGCACTGCTTGTATGAGGCGACGATCGAACTTGAATTCTGAGTCTGAGCAGAAGTCAGATCGCAGTCAATATTCAGAGCATTAAGGTCACCCACAGTCATTACGCCGGCTCGGATCGAAATCGCTTCTAGTTACTCGATCAGTCTGCTGACTGACTGCGGGTTGTTCCTGGGTGGGCGGTAGACCATCAAGATCTCGAGAACTTGCGACCCCGACGTTTTGATGATGAGCCAATTTGTCTCATGTGTGCGATCGAGTTGTCCCCGTTTCCATGACACAAGCAGACCATATTTGACATATGTGAACACACTCCACCTTGACTTCCCACTCTAATCTTTCTGAACAAGGGATAGGTGAAGGGAGCGACTTCACGATCGTCTACATCCGCAGTCAGCCACGTTTCAGTTATGAATAATACGTCAGGTAAGGTTTGGCTTACGTAAATCTTAAGCTCGTTTAATTTAGATAGCAGACTTTACGCACTGGTACATGGTAATTTCAGCTTTTTGCCTGTGGCAGGCCGGATATGCTGCCACCTTTATTATTTGATTCACCTGTGACGACACACGTACGGGGTGGGTCGATATAATGAGGATAATAATGATAATTGTTTATAAAAGACCCGTCGGAGTCCCATCAAAGCAAGTAAAAATAAATTTAAATGGGAATTTTAGACGAGGTAGGCAAAATCTGTACGACGTGCAATTCATAGTTTTTGAGTTAGTAGTCCGTTAAGAAAAATGATTAGCGAAGGGTGAAAAAACCACACAAAAAGTTAAAAATGATTGGATTAATTTTTCAGGGGAAAATAACCCCTCGATAAAAAAGCGATAACAGAAAAAATTCGGGCAGGACTGGCCTGCATGCGGCGGTATATTATGGATTATAATCGGACATCGACAGGGCAGAAATAAATGCCAGCTGTATATGGCATTGTATAACGGATTTCATGAAGTGGTAAGTAGGCGGGCCAGTCAGATCTGGCCTGTAAGTGGCCTTGAATAAAACAAATAAGTGGCGAAATGGAAAACCAGTCTCGAGGCGATAGGAACCCAGGTGCGGTCAGTTACACTCATCCGAGTCCATCCGTGGATGGGGTAAGAGAAATGCGACCACACTACTGGTATATGGCACAGAAGGCTTCTCCAAGAGCGTCGGTGGAGCACCTTCTGTGAGGGCACGATGAAACCAGTCTCGAGGCGATAGGAACCCAGATGTGGTCGGTAACATTCATCCGAGTCCATCCGAGGATGGGACAGGGAGATGCGACCAGACTACTAGTATATGACGAATACAGAAGGTTTCGCCAAGAGCGTCAATGGAGCGCATTCTGTGAGGGCACGATGCATGAACTGAAAAATTGGAAAAATTAACATTTCTGGTGAGGGATCTTAGGAAGCGATACGACTCACAAAGGAAGGAAATGTGAGCAGATACGTAAAGTTAATGGCGGTGTCCTAAATTCCTGGTGGCCGCTCGATTGTGCGGATGTTGTATAAAACTGGGTTTTGTTCGTCGCCCCTCTGTTGCAGCCTGAGCTTGCTGACTAACCGCCGGTGTTTAAGCCATTCCTGCGGTACGTAATCCAATTGGGAAAAACACCTTGGTGAAAATATTTTGAAGGAAAACGTCTTGAGAGGATGAGGTCAACATGCTCTTTACAACTCGGAACTATTTTGAGGGGCCTAGGATGCGGTGGGATGAAGGATTACGTTGTGCGCCTTCCAACCCTGAAGGATTTTAATATTGAAACGTCTTCGTTGGACTGAAGCATTTGTTTAGAAGACCTTGCAACAAGCTGTGGTCTGCAATAACGCGTTCCTTAGGTGTGCCTGCATGTGCCTCCTGAAGCCCCTGTATTACTAGGCACTGTTCTCTGATCAACCTGTTTTCGTTACATGATGACGGTGACTTGGGATTTTCCGGAGAAACTTTAATGACGATGTTCAGGTCGCCATCCAATTGAGGGACCTTGTCTTAAACTAAAAATATCGTGTTCGGGGCAATACTGTCAGTATCATGTACGACAATGGAGAGGATATTCGCATCCGCCGTGACTGCGCCTACTCGGTCGTTGGTAGGTTCTGTGAATTGCTCAGCCGAGCTCTGCTCTTCCACCTTAGGAGGTTCTTTTCCTTGAATACGAAGAAGCCGTCCGATTTCTATCGTTCTCTCTTCAATCATCAATCCATTTTGGCTTGAATGCTTCTTTTGATGTTGCCTGTGTATGATCTGAGTCCCACTATCAGTTGCTTGCTTCTCCCGGGTGGAAATTGTCTACTGTCTGCTCTTCTGAGACTATTTAAGATAATGCCTTTCCATTTCCTCTGTGGTTTCTTTTGAGCTTTCCGTCCATACGAAAGTCTTTTCAATTCCGAATCCTTTTACCTTCTTGTGTGACGGAGATTGGATAGCTATGAATCTATCAGGGATCTGGTCGATGTTCTTCAGCCGAATGGTTGCCACTGATGAGTGTGTCCTGTCATGCTCACTGCACAACTTAGTTGGCCAATTCGGAGTTCCGTTTGATAACGCTCTTGACGAGAATGGTGCTGCATGTACAAGTTGTCGTCTACCCCTTCGCCTAGCACTTAATTATATTCCTGCAGCCGGTGATCTCTTGTAATGATATTTAATAGCACCTAGAGATTTCTTTCCCCACTTTCCGACTGCTTTTAAGCCTTCTATTAGTCGGTGGCTGTAAATCAACACTGTCAGTTTCGAAGCTGCTACTGATTTCATCAGTTGGCTTGATTTTACCATACTTTAGCAACAATGCAGTGACGTCTATGAGGGGGCTCATATTCGTCTCCAGCGATGTATTGCTTGCCGCGAGATCCCTACAATATTTAGATTGCGCGCAACAATTCAGAGTATTGGTATCTGGCAGAAAATCTTATGTAGTTCTAGGGGATTCATCGGGATATTTTGCATCGTGGGGCAGCTCATCCCCACTTTGAACCGTCTTTGCCATTTTGCGTTTGTTCGATCCTCCCTGTCCGAAGAGAATTGGCACTGGTCCACAAGGAGTTCCTAGTACACTATGTTCCTGAATAATCCGACATATCTTCTAGGTATGGGCAAATACATCTACTATTCCTTATGTCACTCTTATAGGTGGAGATGGTCGACGGGGTTTAGGCGCTCGCCTCGTGAGTTAGGCGTTGGGGTAGCGACCCCTGTCCCCCGAGCAACTTTGTCGTTCCGCGGGACTGTTAGATAGCACACTTCTACATTTACTATGTCCGTGTATGTCAGAGTTCAGAATGCAATATTTTCTAAAAGGTTATAAATCGCAGACAGACACAACAAAAACAAGAGTTGACGCATTCAAATGTCTGGGAAGATGCAGGCAACAGAAATTTAAGCGCATGCTTCGAGACGTCAGAAAACGGAAATCTAAGACAATGCCTCGAAACTTTAGTCAACAGAAATACGAGCGAATGGTTTGGTAAAGAGTAAATTAATGTCTAGACTTTTAAGTCTGACCAAGCCTTTGTAGAATTGGTTCTAGGCGCTTCGTTTGCAAGAAGATCGGTTTCTCTGGGCTCGCTGGTTGTAGACGAAGTCCACGTTCTGCGAAAGTCATGTTGTTAATAGTCCACCATAAGAATATTGCTATTTCAAATAAAATTTTTAATTGCAGTTGGCCACAGGGGCTTCCAGTGTTCCAAAATCTCAAGGAATATAATCCCCTCGAAGGACGAAAATTTGAAACAAAATTCAAACGAGAGATTCCAAAAAGACTTATGACAGGTTTCAAAAGAGCGATCGCGCAAAAAGGCATAAAGTGGGGGTGGGGGCTAAGTATTTGGTTGTCCATTGACGATTGAGCTTCCGGAATACTTGAGGTTGCGCAACCAACCAAAAAAATCTTCAGTCTGTTAAGATGAGAAATTTCTGATACAGCATAAATGGAGGTCCTTCTTCGTTCTGACATAGTCAACGACCGACTTTTGTACTGTAAGACGCATTCAGCTCCATCTAGCTAGCCGTATGCCAATTATCTGATCCCTATGTAAAATGAAGTACTAGTGTCAGATAAGAAAGCATTCCAGTCACAGCCAAGGATGAACTGAAGCACCTTGTTTGCCACATCCATGAAGATTGACAAAGATCCAGATAGACTGCCCATAAAACCATAAGAAAATCCTAAAAGGAGATAAAGCAGGGGCGAAACTTAAACTGGAGGTAAATATAATTATGTACAGAAATGCACTATGCATTAAGCGGGAATATTGGATGAGCCTATTGGGTTTAAATGAACTGAAATTCACGCGGAAGGGGTAAAAGAAGTTTTGGAGGGCCGTTGCGTCCCTCTTTGCGCCGGGTTGTTCTGGACTGGGATATCAGACGTGGTCGCTGGCCCAGACACGTGTAGTTAGTTTTTTTGTGGTATTGAGTAAATGTATATTTTTAAGCTATCTGGGTAGTCCTTTAGTAACTGTCAAACACATTTCAGATGTCACATTCTCTGTCTTATGTAGATAGTTTTGCTTTCGGACAACGGTCACGTATGCCGGAATATACTTGATCTGACATTATTATTACTTCGATAAGTACCAGTGGTGCTCTGTTAGTCCATGCGGAGGAGTAAATACTCCCCCTGATGACATCACGCTTGCGAAATACCTGCGGCTAGTTTTGTAACTGGCTGACTCTTGCCAGTAGTCTCTGCAGACACAATCTGTCCAGCAGTCTTTTCGGACGATTGGTGTCGATGGATGGAATGTGACAGCAAGACTGTTACTCGTTAATGCTGTGACCAGTCTGCCAATCCAATCACTAACTGCACACAAGAATGCGAATCTGCGCCGTTAATGCAAATCTCAATAAAGGCTAGTACATTGTTATCAGCACCAGGCGTGCAGGCATCTCACGTTCCGATAAGGGGACTTGCTGAGTTCAATAGGCTGCGAACTCCAGAATTGCTCCTGCGTGATGCATGCACACATGGGCGACTCATGCATCATCGCGGCTTAGTTACCCGCACAGGTACTGATGCCTCAGAAGATAAGAAGAGAATCAGGTGGACCGCCACAGTAATTCGAGTTGCTAGCCATTAACAACTGCCTAACCAGGGCAGTTTTTGAGGTGTCCCGCATGTATTCACTGAAGTGTGCGGGAAACAGCTTTCCTTGTCTGTTGTTGACTGGATTGCATCGTACAGTTGACCAGTCTGCTTCTCTAAACAGTGTAACTCCACTAGTTTACAATCCGTATCCTGTTACCTAATACAGTTCAGTACACCTTTGACAGTCGTACTTTCGCGTCTGTGGACAACATCAGAGAACCAAACCCCAACTGGTCAGTGTCGCATGAACGTGCGCAGGCACCGGAAGTGTCTTGCTGTTAGTAGTGGTTGAGCAGCACATAAGACGTGCATACTGGTCATCGTTTTCGTCATGTCCATAGAGCCAATCTCCTGTTGGACAAGTTGGTGAAAAACAATATTCTTACCTTTCCCACAGAACTGACGCATCTTTTTGTTTTCGGCTTTTGTGTAGAACTTAAGTATGGTCACGCTGATAGTGACACTTGGGGAGAAGCACCCATCATCGCAGACATAGAACCAGACTTAGCCACCATTTCACTCTAATTCTGTAGAGACAAAAACAGTTTTTGCTTTTGTTATTTTTCATCTTCATAACGTTCTTGTGTCATTTTGCCTGTTTTTGTTTAATTAAACGTTTTTCCCTTCCAGAACGTTTTTCATGACTCACACCAATCTGTTGACTTAAAGCAGCCTCATACTCTAGACTGGGGGGCAGTGTTGCTGGAAAGCAAGGCGCGATTTGTAGTTCAAATGCTCGCGGCGATTAGGATAGCTGAGACGGGCACAAGGGAGGACGTCGAAAATTTCTTATTTACCGAAGGTGCTATCAAGCGTGATGTGGATAATAACACCCTCCTTCATTACGCGTGCCTTGCGGGTAATTTGGACTCAGTCGTGGCGCTAATAAATGGTGGCTACTATGTAAATGCGCCAAACGTCGAAGGACACACACCCATATGCGATGCTGCGATTCATGGGTCTCCCGACGTCATCAGATACTTAATTCAAAATGGTGCCAATGTAAATCCACCCGCTTATTGGGGCTCTCCTCTAAATTATGCCGTTCGAAATGGTAACTGTCAAATACGATTAACTCTACACGGAAATTTTTAGGACGATTTCACGCCTTGGTCCTCCTTATTAATGGTGGAGCTGACATTAATGCATGTGACCGCACTGGCTTTTGCGCTATCCACGTCGCTGTGGAAAATAAACTTTATGACGCCGCGGAGTACCTTCTCATGTCCGGTGAGTCTGAGCGTCACCTCTGTTCATTTTACGTAATTTTTGTACTCTTTAATTTGCTTCCCGTTTCTGATTGCTTAGATTACGAGTAATGTTTCTGTTCGAGGGCCGTCAGGGAGGGCGTTCGTTGATTATCTTGATCGCAGAGTGGGATACGGTAGTTCTGTTCCTCCGTAGCGCCGTATCCTTGAGCTACTGCTGGCGATTACCTAATAGCTATATTCATCGTTGTAGGAGGTAATGCGTCCAATACGGAAAACTTTCATGAGGAGCATAATCGAGGTCGGCTAGTTCGGGACTGATGACAACCCTATCAAGTGTTAAGTTAATATCGAGCGGCTGCTTGCGTGTCGACGAGAAAATCATGATCAAAAAATATTACTGGTAAGAAAGAAAGGGGCTGAAACTATAATTCATAGCTTAATTATTGGTAGCCAGCCAGCCAACAACTACCTGGCCGGAGAGACTTACAATTTGAAGTTGCACTCAATTGGTCGCTGAACCAGATATTCTATCAGCCGAACTACGTCACATTCTCTGTCAGCTGGGATCAGGGGTTGAAAAAGTCGCACGAGACATGCGTCTGCAGATCTAACCTGATCTCACGATTAGATCGGCCTTGCATTCTGCTCTGGGACTCTGGTCTAGTACCTTAGAAGGTCGCCACAACGGAGTGCAACACAGAATCCAGAAGTGTTGCCGATAAGGACAAAGAAGGCTGAAATGGCTTTTCCGGCCGCCGATGCATGCAATAAGGCTAGTTCCACGTATCACCGCAAAACCTGGGCTTCTCCACCCCTGTTCCTGTCTCTGACAATGGTTTCGAGTGTGGAACCGAAACGTCTGACTCATTAATACCATCTTCGGGCAGTAGAGTCCATTACCACCTCATTTCTGAGTCAATTACTACCGTCAGCCCAACCAAAGATCGTAAATCTTCCTCCTAGCAATAGACCACTTTGTCTAGTAACATATACAGGGTCTTGTTAGCACTTACTTTTTGAGTGTTCACCTACAGGCGTCAATCAGACACCAGGATCCTGGCTCATGTCGTTATAAGGCCTGATAATGTTTCGTGAGCCTTTTGCTAAGCCAGATTACTGTAAGCTCCCACATTTCAAGCCCTTCCAGAAGTTCTTGCCTCATTGAAGAACCGACAGGCTTTCTCTCATTCCGCAACAGCCTCAAAATTTAATGGCTGATGCCGAGGAGACTACAAAGTCTCAAGGCGTCTACGCGTGACATAATGCCATTCATCCCTGAAGCAGTTGCTTCATCTTTATGTTGCTGCACACTGACCAACCAACTCGTCTTTCTCTTATGTCCAGGTGCTGATCCCAATCGGCGAGTGAGGTTGACTACCCCTCTCCACATGGCAGCCAAGCAGCAGGATTTGCGCCTTGTTCGTCTGCTGCTGAGTCACGGCGCCAGCCCATATCCTGCTGATGCAGATGGTTTAAAACCGCTTGACTACTCTCCCAAGGGTAGCGATGTCCACCGCCTCATCAGTTCACACATGGGTATGTGTTGGCCGTTTTCTTCCTTCCTTGGTCATATATGGGGCTTCATTGTGTACTCAGTCACACCGAATGCCTAGGCGCACGAGATGGTCTCTCATTTCTGGCCCCCATCTGACACCAGCCCTCAACTGTAGATCCGTCGGACTGCCAGACGCAGCAGCCACACTCCTGTTGCCGCCTTGACAGGTGATTGAAGTCAAGTACAGGTTAGTCGTACCGGCCGTCACCTGGCGAATCTTCGTACGTAATTGGGATTGGTCAGTAGTGATGGACCAGTCATAGGTCAGCCATTATGCCCGAGACCACCTCTTGTCACACTGACCTAGTTTCGCCGTTCGAAATGATGGGTATGGGAAGAAAGAATGAGGTTCTGTAACTCACCAGCAAGCAGGGTCCTCTCCCCCGGGACAGTAGTAACCATTATCATATTTGACGGACGAAATTCAATCCAGCGACCATCTTGTGCATTGTGGCTGTCGTAACTGATTACACCACTGTCGCGGAAGGAGTGTTCGCTTTATGTCGGAGAGGAACAAATATTATGCCTGCATCCAGAGTGGTGGCCTACTCAAACTTTCCTTATGCAATAAGCCATGCATAGGTCTTTCTGGTACAGTACTATTAGTCAGCAAGAGGCTCATTGATTCTCATTTTCGTGTGTAAAGCAGATTGCCACGTTCGAATGAAGTCACTGCTGTGAACCAACGCACACATTGTATGCCTCATCAAATAGACAGCCACTGGGCGAATCAGACGTCTAAGCCCTTACCTTGTGCAAACTTTAAAAAGATTGCAACAGTCACCGGCCAGCACTGAAACTGGACTTTGGTTCAGTATCCAAGCCGCGGCGAGATTCCTCCTTGTAGAGTGTTTTTACTTCTGTCATGCGTAGGTAAATATGTTTTTTTCTCACGCTTCACAGCAATCACAAATTGCATTCTATGATGTGGACAATCGCTAAGTAGGCTGGGACGTGGTCATGACATTTTCCGAATCTACTTTCTCCACTCTTTACCCATTCATTGTGTCCCAGTGGCAAGACAAGGGCAAGACGGTTGTAGATGGGCATGGGCACGTTGGCCAGAAAATCGTTACTGTCTGTCTAGGCGTGCAGTACACGATCTGATCCATAATTCCACGCATACCGAATTCCAACCAAGAGGGGAACCTGAACTTCGGGCAGGCGATGTGCTTTGCAGGTCATTGCAGTCGAACCTCAGTCCTTAATGGAACCGCCGATATCGTCATTTGACAACCTTCCAGATCAGCGCTGTTAATTCTCGGTTGTAGTTTTAAAACATGCTTTGTTATGACGTGAAAATCGCACACTGGCTCCAAGCTGCATTTACCTCTTTCCTCCCATTTGCCAGTGGTGTGCCCAAACCTGTCGTATGACTGGTGAGGAAACTCGACACTGGCTAATTTGGCATGAAATCCTCCGTCAACGCGTTACACGCATATGTCGATCCCTTACCTCGCATAGGCCGGGTTTAACCAGAATAGAGGCACCTCACGGGAGTAATAACTGTCAGCTTGAAGGAGTGACGAAGTCACTGTCACACTGTGATGTCATTCAGTGTTTCCACGACCCTTAAAAGGTACACGTGGATCGTGGCGATATCCGTCGGACCAGTCCTATGCAGTCGTGAATGCCTGGCTGTGCGCCTGGAAGATGAGCAAGAACTGGGGAGGGGTTTTACAACTTTTGCCTAAAAACAATCCTGCGAGTACAGCACACGGAATTCGTCTCGAATGAGGCAGTTCACACTCGCTGCAGTAACAGGATGCCACAGGCCTGTTCAATAAAGTAGACTGGTGTGGTTTGGGTGCGTTCTTCGTCGTCTGTCCCAGGGATTCAGTGTTATTACAATTTATCCAACGACGCTGGCCACCTGTAGTCGACGGAGGGGGAAGCCAACTAGAAAGCTGGCCCAAGTTATGGCGGTGGTTCTTGGACCTTCGGTCTTTGTCGCTAGTGAAGTGTGGGTCGTGATCCACCGCCGAGGGCGCCCGCGTAGTATATGATCACAGACGTACGTACCGATAGAAGTACTGTTTGTCACTTTTAATGCGAAGGTGCCAATGATCGTGACAAATTTCGCCCGTAGAATGGGAGCCTCACTGTCATGATACAACCGTTGATTTCGTGTGGGATGCCGGACAATCGTTTCACGATGTCAATTTCCATGGCAAAGTCGACTCCGGCGCCGCACCAATCTCCCTTTGAACGTCCGCTCCAGGAGAGATTGTATTCCGCGCCTACTTCATTCTGTTGTCCTTGCTCAGAGAGGCGGGTCAGCTCGCATCGAACCAGTTCGTGGACCATCGGAGCCGTCACCTCTAGTCGTTGTACGTTGGCTTATCCAAAAGAGAGCGAACAGTCACTGTGGGGGAAGGGGGAGGGGCACAAGAATTGTCGTTTCAAACAGTTTTTCGACCGCATGTTTAATACCCGTGAATCAAGATCGGTATTTAAACAGTGATTGCCAGCGCTTTTTATCCATTTCTCCGTAAGGCGGTAAGTAGTGTCTCCTTAGATGGGGTTGCCTAGTCCTCCTTGCAGGGGGGGGGATGAGGCGAATTAAACTATGGATTACGGATTTGGGTTAATCGGAAAACGACCTGGATCAGCCTGGTCTACCTACAGGATTGCACGTTGCCCCCTGCGTAGGGTCTTTTGTTGAGGATGGGGACCAGTTAACCGATTATCAGGTGTACATATGACAGTTCGACCGTCGGTTTCGACAATGTCCACCGTGTGCCCTACAGTCAAGTGGAGCAGGGACGGTGACTTGTGCGTGAATTAGTTTACAGTGATAGTAGGCTTGCACGGCACCCACCGCACTCCCTCTTCCCATTCCTCACCTGGACCCTGTGTCAAGACAGAATCAAGAAGACCGGAGGCTGGGGAGGGCGCAGGTGGATGACGCGGTCGAGCCCACGCCTTGCCGTTCCACTCCACACCCCCTGGTCCACACAGAAAATGACCAGGTTTTGACCAACAACAACAACAACACCTCAACAGGAGCCACAAAGACGAGGATGATGACTGGGCGGTCATGCCCACCACCTGTATACCCAGCGGGAGCGCAAGCGCATCGGCCGGCAGGGAACAGCCAGCGTAGACCAGGCTGCGAGGTTTGCCGATACTGACATAGCACGCGCTTTCAGACCTTTTGACCTAAAAAGGGCGACACGTGGTCTTGCATTTAGCCAGGGCCGTCACCCTTCAAGGTTAGGTATAGGTAGCCAAACAGTCGTCGACTGAGAGGCACTACCCATAAAGCACAAACACACTCCTCACATGCATGAGAGTGTCACAGATCGCCTGAGAAGGGGCCGTTACAGCCTGGCTCTCAGCCCGCCGCTCCACACAACACACACTACTGGGCAAGTGTGCATATACACCTCAAATGTCATCATCTGCTTTAGTTTGCCGACCATGTACAATCAATTTGGTGTGGCCGCCTTTACAGAACACGGCCTCCTAGAGCCACAGATGGGAGCAGGGTGGTCGAGCAGGGCGATTTAGAGGTGTCCACCAGGTTCATTTGCGTGTTTGGTGGGAATCGCCGATACACTGCCGTGGAATGGCGAACCGGACTTACTGATGAATTAGAGGTCACCGCAAACAACCAGAACTTGAGTTTATGCCTATGACATTCAAACGTGTATGTAAAGTTTCGAAATTCTTTTCCTAGGCTGGGTTCCTTCTCTTCAATTCCTCACGCGAATTGCCATCAAGGGTTTTTTGCCATCCTTCCGACAGGAAAACATTCGGAAACTACCCCTACCGCAGCATCTTCGTGACTATCTAACCTTTAAGTTTTGAGCTTTTATTCATCCTCACTGTATCTTCACTGCATACCAGCCAGGCAGTCTCTCTTCCCTGCTCAAAGTGCCATTGCATCACTGACTTTCATTTTGCGTTTGTCCATTTTTCACCTGCTCATCGCCCATTTATTTGTGTATTTGCTCTATTTCTTATTTCTTTTTCGTGTTTGCTGCTTTCATACCTTGCCTGTTCAGCCTAATTTTGATTTTCACTGTTATTCTGTTGCCTTCTTTATGCACGTTGGTAGTCAAATATACTTTTAGACATATTATTAATGTGCTTTGTGATTCACCGCTTCGTCGGGGGTAGGTGATTGAGCCTTTGTCGGGTGGTCGGTCTGGTGGTTATTCTTCGCCGAGTAAACACGTAGTCGGGCCACCTATCGGGCCACCCCTTAGATTTCAGCCCATTTATTTGTGTACTAGCCGGACCCCGCCACGCGTTGCTGTGGCTCAATCTGATGAATTGAGGAGTAAGGGAAAGAGGAAGGGGCACGTTCCCAACTGAGAAAAATGTAAGGGCCACCGTTTGGCGGTACGTATTGTGTGCGAAACCCAGGATTGTCCTTCTAGACATTTTCGATGGCAGGGCAATAGTTTGCTGCACCCAGTCGCGTTCGAGAATTCCGGAGTAAGTGGTGACGGCGGGCATTTATTTCGTCCACCGATGCCGATCGAGGCAGTGTTGGCCTGAAGTCTCCAGCAAGCAGTAGCAGTGCATTGGATATGATCTGCTGTTTCCCCGCAAATCCTGCAGCGTTCGGTCAGGGACCTCGAGCGCTTTTTTACGCCATTGTGCATTCATCTAAAACAATAGGTTTGCATTTCTGTAGTACTTTTCGCATGCCCGATGCTTTGGAAATGTTATACGCGAGATTTTCAATGGATTGCACGTTCAAAGGCAATTTAGAAGCTGACTGAACGGATTTTCTGCCAGGTAGCAGAGTTGCAGCTATTCCGGGGATGCAAGTGCTAGGGCTATGTCATTTAGTAAATCGAATTGCCGGCAGAATCGGTCGTAGTAGGAACGTTTTGCCAGTCCCTCTTGGCGCATCTAGGAAGAAGATTCCTCCAACCTCGTTACTGACATTCCGCAGTAAATGCCATTCTGCTCCAGGTTTACCTTGTCAATGTTTGATTGCAAGCATGGCAGAAGTTGAACCGTGTTTTATTTTTGCGGCGACATTCCCAGTTGATTAAGAACTTTGTTCGCAATTTCGGCGTACATATCCTCAATCAATATTAACGCCTCGCTGTAGATTCCTGCTGTGCAAGCCGCATTTGAATTTTCCTTGCATATTTGACGGAAGGTATTTTCAGCCATCTGCAAATTCTATTTCTCCAGTAAATCCGTTGGAGATGAGGAGAGAATGCGGTCAATATGACTGCAAACAATGCATGAATTTAATGTGGATGGGACGTGCTGCAGGCGTCATTAATACATACTTCCCGCTGTTGATCGTTATCTAGTAACTGAAAAGCCTGACAAACACTGCTGAAAGTGGCATGCGTTGACAGATTTCAATTGCAGGAAAAACGTTGGGCCGGGGCACATTCACCAACAGCATGCGAAGTAAGATTGGGATGCACGGTATGCAAACTGCCCATCGCAGTTCCTTTGAGTATGCCGGGGTGACCGTCCACTCGCTCTCCTCGTTTGCGTTGTTCGGATGATTTTCTACGCACATTCCCTGTGTAATGCGTAAGCACTTCCGAATGCGGCAGTGGTTTCGCAAACGCGCCACTTTGGCTGAACGTGGAGAACGCAGTTGATATTGTTGCCAGTGGACCTAAGGCAACCTGTTGCGTGTTTTGCATCGGTGAAGTAAACGCATTGCCCATTCTCTAACTGTACTGCAAGCGAACAACACCTGGACTTCGCTCATGGATGGGGAATGAAAGAATTCGCCACATGGATTTCTTGCCGTTGACGCATCTTCCAGCCCAATACTGTGCGATTTCATTGTGTTGTATGTCCGCATCCCTTTATCTCCTTTCGTGTTGCAGGCCGAAAATGGCCATGTCGCTGCCTTTATTCACGTACTTACAAATGTATCTAATTCATTTCCCAAAATTGCAGTGTTCCACGTTTATGTGAACTGCGTTTGCTTTTAAAAGCAGAGGCGAATACGAAACAACCCAGCGGTTACCGACTTCTATGTCACCGATTCGCATTCGTACGGTTGCCAATTTGCCGATGTCTTCCGCTGATCATTTTCGGTATAAGGGACTTCCGTCAATCATGCCGGGGGGGAGAGGGGGGGTTGGAGGATTGGGATTCAGTGCATCTAAGGTCCATGTAGCATATTCTTCGCCACAACTTCATGCAAATCATTGTCGACGTCGATATCAGATAATTCGGCGCATACTGCATCGTCGTTTTCGTTGGAGGCGATCTTGTTATAGAACCAGATCAGGACATGTGCATGGGGCAGTCCCCACTTTTGCCGTTCCACCTAATACATCCAGCAGCGCACAGACCCAACCACCTCGTGTTTCACCATGAAGTTCATCAGCGATTTCGGTTTTCTGCAGAAAAACATGTACTCTGATGTCATACCTATTCACGGGCGATAACCCGAGAAGTGAGAGCTGAACAATACCCCCCCCCCCCACCCCAAGCTGGATTGCATGTGAATGTAAAGAGTAGGTTTGGACGTCCGTACTGACAAACAAAAGGGATGGCACCTCCAGCGTACCCGGGCGTATGGCGTGAACTGTCTGTGTATGTGGAGGACAAAAATCAGTAGTCTTACAACGGAAGGTGTATTACCGTCGTTCACAACTGCATCATGCAAAGGAATATATTCTTCAGAGCGCAGTTTGGTCGGATGCAAATGAATGAAAAGCGGGCGTCCTGTTTCGATTTCGCATGCGTATTCACAATGCAGTTATGAAGCAATTGACGGCAGTTCAAAAGGGGTTTACTTACATTCCGTCGAAGCATAAGTCGGAAGGAGTAGTAATTCATTCCACTAAATTTCGCGTACATTTCCTCGTCACTGACTGAATTTATGATCTTAACGTTGAAGTGATATCCAACGGCACCATCCCGAAAAGTAAATGGATACTGTGTTGAAATCGGTATTGTTCATTCTGTTGCTGAACTAAGCAGGCCCGAAGCTGCAGAACGCGGTAGCCGTGACCGCAACCCGGCTTCCGCAAGCCGAGCTGCACTACACTGAACTGACATTGGGCGACAGCCCTATTATATGGGTTGCGCGGGGTGGTGGGGCTGGTGTTAACTGCGTCCAGTCCTCACCCTCAAGATTCCCAGAGTAAGCGGTGACGGCCCTATTATGTGGGCTGTGGGACAATTTTAAGTGGCGTCCAAGTGTCGCGTGTTTTTTTTTGCCCCAGGGGTGGTTTGCTCGGCGGCCCATATTGCAGCGGTCCAGAGAGGGTGGAGGGCCTGCTCAAGTGCCTGCGAGGTGAGTGGTGGGGTGGGCACGGCCGTCGGGTGGAGCACGTGCGTTTTAGCGAATGTCGGTCAAGTGGCTCGGCGGGTAGACGTGTGGGCACAAGCGGATGTAGGTCAAGTGGCCGCAGCTGACGGCGTTGTTATGCCGGAAAATATCCAGTTTTTTACCCATCACAGGCATACCATGGGTATAATTACACAACTGACCAGCCAAAAACCCGGCCCTATGCGCGGGTCGGGTTGTGTCCAAATTTCAGCGCAATCGGTGCAGTACTTTCGGAGATTAGATATAACACAGAAAAAAAAACCTTCCATTTTTATATATATAGACTAGCCGGACCCCGCCACGCTTTGCTGTGGCTCAATCTGATGAATTGGGAAATAAGGGAATGAGGAAGGAGCACGTTCACAAGTAAGAAAAATGTAAGGGCCACCGGTTGGCGGTACGTATTGTGTGCGAAACCCGGGATTGTCCTTCTAGCCGCTGTCGAAGGCAGGGCAATTGTTTGCTGCACCCAATCGCGCTGGAGAATTCTGAAGTAAGTGGTGCCTGCTGCCTTTATTCACGTACTTACAAATGTACCTAATTCATTTCCCGGAATGTCATTTTTCCACGTTTATGTGAGCTGCGTTTTACTTTTAAAAGCAAAGGCGAATACGAACCCGCCCAGCGGTTACCGACTTTTAAGTCACCGATTCGCATTCGTGCGGTTGCCAATTTGCCGATGTCTTCCGCTGATCATTTTCGGTATAAGGGACTTCCGTCTATCATGCTGGGGGGAGGGGGGGTTGAAGAATTGGGATTCGGTGCATCCAAGGTCCATGTATCATATTCTTCGTCCCAATTTCATGCAAATCATTGTCGACGTCGATATCAGGTAATTCGGCGCATACTGCGTCGTCGATTTCGTTGGAAGCCATCTTCTTATAGAGCCAGATCAGGACATGTGCATGGGGCAGTCCCCTCTTTTGCCGTTCCACCTAATACATCCAGCAGCGCACAGACCCAACCACCTCGTGTTTCACCATGAAGTTGATCAGCGATTGCAGTTTCTTCCGGAAAACACGTGCTGTGATGTCATACGCATCCACCGACGATTACCCAGGAAGTAAGAGCTATTGAATATCCCCCAAACTGGATTACATTGAAAGGTAATGAGTAGGTCTGGTTGACCCCCCTGCTGACGAACGTAAGCAATTGCACCTCGAGCGTACTCGGACATATGGCGTGGACTCTCTGTGCATGTGGACGAAAAAAGCGTTAGTCTTACAACGTTATCTGTATTACCGTCGTTTACAAATGCATCATGCAAAGGAATGTATCCTTCAGAGCGTAGCTTGGTCTGATTTAAGCGAATGAAAGCAGGCGTTCAGTTTCGATTTTTGCATACATATTCACAATGCAGTGATGAAGCAATTTACAGCATTTCAAAAGGGGATTACTTACATTCTATCGTATAGGAGTAGTGGTAGGAGTAGTGGTTCACTGCGCTGCATTTCATGTGCGTTACCTCGTCACTGACTGGATTTATCATCTTAACGTTCAAGTGATATCCATCGGTACCATCCCGATAAGT